GTCGTTTTTCATTAACGATTTTAGATTTTAACACTGTTGTTAAATGGAAATGTGAAATCTAAAAATCTAAATTTGACTATTTGTTCAGAAAAGCTGCTTTTAGTAGCATTAGGCTCAAAAAAGTAGCAAATAGTATGCTTTTAGTAGAAGAGTGCGAAGCCTGAATAACGAAAAATAATTGAAATTTCTAAAAATTACAATTAGGGTTATTTGGGGTAAATGTAAACAGTAGATGTTTCAGCTAAATTTACAAATTAAAAAATAAGTACGACGTCAATGTTTTTACCTCAGCTCACCTACAAGATGTTCTGAGTATTGCCAATATTTTATTTTGACAATTGGCAATGCCATAGTGTAAGTTATCTTTTAATGCAAAAAAGATTGAAAATAAAAATTTTACTGTTTCAGTATTTTGTCTCGCATTTTCATAAAAATAAATTTAAAAATCAAACAAAAATATGTGATTCTTCCTTATTAATGCTCTAACAAAAATTGACTTTAATTTTTTCTTTTCGTCAATTTAGTTAATAAAAAATTAAGTGTTTACATTTACCTCGAGAATTCGAAAACTCGGGGTAAATGTAAACAGAACTTGAACTACATTTTAAAAGAAAATAATTGAATAAATTTGCTTCTACAAGGTTGCCACAAATATTTAAATTTAATTTTTCCCTGACTTTTCCCTGATATTCAGAAAAAAATTTCACTTTTTCCCTGACCCTAAAGAATATTCTGATTCACTCTAAAAATTATTAGATACTCAAAAAATGTTCTATTACATTTATTTACAAACTTCTTTAATTGTAAAATTATTTAAAAACATCAATAACTTCTTTCTTAAATAAATATTTAATCATTATTATTTTTCCGTAGGAATTAAATTTCTTCAAAATATTTAAATTTAAACCTTTTTGAAATTCAACAACTTATAAGAATATTATTACAAAACATGAAGAAGACGATCACTCCGACTTGGAGTGATCGTCTTCTTCATGTTTTGTAATAATTTAAATTGCCATAAAATTTTTTTAAATAAGTTAATTATTTACAAAAATCCTAAAAAAATCCTTCGCAAGAATTCAATTATTTTTACAAGAAGTACAATTTCACAAAAAAATTCAATTATTTAAAAAAATGTAATAAAATTCGTTGCAATAATTCAATTATTTTTATAAATAATAATAAATCGATTATTCGTTTATTCATTTTTAAATCAACTTTTATTGGAAAATTTTAAAAAAATTCAATTATTTAAATTAAAAATAAATAATTTATTGAATACTTGAATGTTTGTTAAAATTGAATTCTCATAAAGAATTTTATCAATAAAATTTTAAATAATTGAATTCGTTTAACAAATTTTAATAAAATTTTTAAGAATAATTACATTTAACGAGGAATTTGATTAAAATATTGTATAAAAAATAATTCATAAAAATAATAATTAAATAAATAATTAAAATTTTCATAAAATAATTGAATGTCGGAGAGAAATTTTAGTATTTATATAAATAATTGAATTCGTACAACGAATGTTATTCAAGTTTGTAAAAATAATTGAATTTTGGTGAAGAATTTTATTATTTATAAAAATAATTGAATTATTAAAAAGAACTATGTTAAATTTTTTGAAATAATTAAATTCTTGCGACGAATTTTATAAAAATATTTTTAAATAATTGATAATTTTCGAAAAATTTTATGAAATTTTGTATTTCAACTAATTGAATTCCTGTCAAAATTTTATTACTTATGAAAATAATGGAATTATTTTGAATTGATTTATTAAAAATTGAATAATTGAATTCCTACGAAATTTTTAAAAGAATTTTATTATTTATAAAGATAATTGAAATTTTGACAACATTTCTTTTTTAATTTTTGAACATAATTGAATTTCTGCGAAGAATTTTATTATTTTGAAAATAATTTAATTCTTCCAACGAATTTTATTCAAGTTTATATAAATAATTAAATTCTTACAACGAATTTTATTCAAGTTTATAAAAGTAATTGAATTTCGGTGAAGAATTTTATTATTTATAAAAATAATTGAATTTATGAAAATATTTTATAAAAATCTTTTTATATAATTGATATTTTTCGAAAAATTTTATGAAATTTTTGAATTTTAAATAATTGAATTCCTGTGAAAATTTTATTACTTATGAAAATAATTGAATTATTTCAAAGGAATTTATTAAATATTGAATAATGAATAATTGAATTCCTGTGGAATTTTGACAAGAATTTCATTAAAATGTTTAAAAATAATTGAATTTCGTTGAAGAATTTTATTACTTATAAAGATAATTGAAATTTTGACGAGAATTTTTTTTAATTTTTGAACATAATTGAAATTTTGCGAAGAATTTTTGTAACTTTAGAAAATAATTGAATTTCTGGAATCATTTGTAACTTTTCCAAAATCCAATTTTTTTTAGTATTTTTAACTGAAATACTTCTATCAATCTAGTATTTATGAAAATTGTAAAAATTATTTATAAAATAATTTGTAAGTCATAATTTTATGATAGTTTTTGAAAAATTAAGTTATTTAAAAAGAAATTATTGTCAGAAATTGAAAAAATTGAAGGTTTTGTATTAAAATTCGAGGTAATTTCATAATTTACGAGGCAAAAAGGAAAAAAATTCAGAGTTTTCTCATGAATTTTAAAAATTCAATTTTTTCCAGTGCTTTTAGTAAAAATCCCTGACTTCCCTGGCCAATTTTACTTTCCCTGACTTTTCCCTGATTTCCCTGACCTGTGGCAACCCTGTTCTATTTCACAATTTCATTAATTTGGCAATGTAAAATAAAGTTTTTTCTGTAATTTAGAAAATTTTTTAATTTTTCACACTTATTGTTAAAAAAATCATTTTACCCATTTCTTCTGAGTTATTTTCTTCTCCAGTATTTTCCTCTTCATCGACTTCTTCATCAATAAGGCTGTCCTCGTATCTGATATCCTCTTCAGTGGTTTCATCTTCATCAGATTCTTCAATAATTTTTCGACGATTTTGCAAGAGTAGGTAATTCTTCCTTCTTTTGAATTTCATTATCTTCCTGATCTTCATCATCACGAAAGAGACGTCTTCTGCTTTTCTGTAAAGAAAAATCAATTAACTTGTGTTTTCTTTGTTCGTGATAATTACAAAATAATTACCGGATTTTTTTCCTTAACTCCTTGTCTTGATTCTTGGGTAAAACTAATATTCCGCCTGTTAGGAAATTGTATTCTTTTTTTTTTGTTTTGTTCTTCAATGTCATTGGCACTTACTAAAAATGTTAAATAATTAATTACTTTAATTAAAATTAAAATTTTTTTAGTTCAATTTCAACTTATAACATGTTTTTTTTAAAATACAAACATTTTATTATTCAGGTTAGAGTTTCTCAAACAGATCAACCTAAAAGTTTAAGAAAGTAATTGAAGCGTGAATTAAACTTAACTCGCATTTTTCAAATATCACTGTTTTTCCATTTTTTACATTATTCATTGGCGTTTTCTTAAGAGAAAAACTTCATCTGAGGTACTTTCATCGAGAAAAAGGTATTAAAGTGTTTTTTCATTTGACTTTTAACCCAAGAATGGTTTTTTCTAACCTAATGTTTCTCGATAGTAAAACGTTTAATTAATATATTTTTATGATGAAAAATATATTTTTTTCATGAATTTCGAAAAGGGCTTAATTCTGACAACTATAATATCAATTTTTTCAAACTCACTTTTATTAAGGACAATTATTTTATTATATAAAATTGCATCTAGATACTATTACGAAAAAAATCTGGACTCTTAAATAGCACGGATTGAAGTAAACAGTTTTTTGTGTCTCCTGTAAAAGTTTAAAAAACCGAGTTAAGCCCTTCTCGAAATTCACGATTTAATTATTTTTCAACGTTAAATCATTATTTTAATTCCTAAAATAATAAAATTCCAATATTTTTTAAACCAAAAAATTTTTTTGTTAAAGTTATTAACAATTCTATCTTTAACACTTATAAATGAAAAATCTTCTCGACAATCGGATGATGGACTTCAAGATTAAAAATAAGCCACTCAATAACAAATTAGTTAATTATCAACAATTATTTATGTATAAAATATTTTAATAATAATAGGTAACTCCTATTTGTTATAAATAATTATTACATGTAAAGAAAGTATAAATATAAAATTATTTACCGTAGAAATACTTTTTTAGGAGATCCGTTTGAGATATCCTGAGCCATACATATTCTAATTTATCGAATTAATAAAATCTGTAACTTTTCAAGGCTAATATCAGAACATTTGCTTTTTACACAAATATCTTATTTTTTTTAACAATTTACTGAATTTCAAAGTTACAAAATAATAAAACATTTGTAAATATTCAACTCTAAAATATTTTGTAATTACAGAAAAGCAATCGAAATAAAATAATTTTTAAAATTGGAAATTTCTAATCTTATGATATGCTGCATATATCTTTATTCAATTTACATTTATTGCAAAATAGTAATTAAAACATACCCCCTAAACGAAGAATGAAGATGTCGATATCGTCCTGGTTAATCTCATCGATAGAATTGTTGTATTTATATTTTCTTCCTCTTTCAAAATCCTCTTCATTTGACGGATTAAAATCATAAATATCAGCAATTTTAACTATAGCAGTTACTTCTTCTCTTTTTTCCGTATAGCAAAGTATAAAAGCGTGCGTTAGATTTTTCTTAGCACCTGACATTTTGAATAAATATATTTTGTAATAATTTTTAAAAATTAATCACTTATTAACACACTACACACCTCGTGGGCCTCTCTCACATGGGAATGGATGCCTCTTGTAGAATATTGTGATGAATTTTAAAATATCACGTGACTCTCAGAGAAAGGAGACTGCGCATTGTGCGGCGTGCTGTGGCGCGTAATCGTCAAAATTCAAAAGAGTAGCGTCGAAGAGAAAAATCAAAAGTGACGCTCCACGAGAGAAGAGACCCCCACTCTCGCGGTTCCATATATGAGCACACACACACACACATTCTTACGTCTGGTTTCTGCTCTCGCTACGCCGCTACGTCGGTGAGCCTCTTTTTCGAAAAGAGCTTCTTCTTCTCCTTCTCTCATAGAGCGTCAATATACGGAAAAAAATTTGTTTGAGTGCTTTTTATATGTGAAAATCTTGGTTAAAATATTTGTAAGTTATTAGTGACAATGGCCGATAACAATAACAGCCGAGAAAGCCATAATGCGGCCCACGTGGTAAGTTAAATTTGACATAACCTCTAATATATACACGAAATTGTTTATTTAATAGGAATATCAATAAAAAATTGTATAAATCTTATTAGAAAAGCGAATACCTCTTTCATTCAGAAGGATTTAATATAAACTTCTTTAGTCTGTACTAATATTTTTATTATTTTTTATTTATTTTTTAAATATAACATTTATTAGCAGCATACTATTTAAAATCTCATTTTTTAATACAAGTAGATAAAAAATCTAACATCCTATTTTTAAAAATATTTCACTGAAGAAAAATTAACTTTACTACAGTGAAAACGTCTAAAAAATTGAAATTAAGTTTAAAAGGTGACTTTTAAAACCCGAAGATATTAACTCTTTATTTTATTGCAATTTTCGATAGTATATTACTTTTTCGTTTATAAAAAAATTGCGTTCTAAATTATATGACTTGAGATAGTAATAAATAATAAATTTCTTTTAATAAACTAATATGGAGAATACTTGCATTTTCGTTAACAAATCACTATTTTTATGGGTTCATAAATATTTGATTATTTAATTAGGAAAATTAATGACATTATTACAGTTACCAACTGACGAGAATAGATGTGGTACATACAAGAATTATGTGAAAGACGGTTCAAAAAATGAGATTCCATCCTCCACGTGGTATCGGTATAAAAAAATACATCGAAACTCGGTAAGTTATAATTATAATGATTATAATATAAGAGTCACTTATACTTTAATTTTCTTCTGCCCATTAATATTTAGACTCAAATTAATCCGAAATAATTATTTCTTTATAACTGTGGATCATATTTTCTCAATTAAATATTTTTTTGAAATGTATAATTTTATTTACAAGGAAATATATGTAAGTGATTGAAGAGATTTTTGTACTCATAAAACATTTAAAAATATTTTATAATGTTAACAGTTTTATAAAAAATCGATATTATAAAATTTTTTGGCAATGGCCAAAATTGATAAAAAAAGTAATATCGACTTACAGCGTTTATTATTATGATTCCATTTTTCCAAGGGTACAAAAATGTGCCTACTAACTGGGAAATCCGGGAATTTAAATTGAACGGGAAAAACGGGAATAAGCCAGGAATTTTATGCCGAACCGGGGATTTTTTCGCCGAATTAAAAAATGTTTTATTATTTTTATTTGTTTTTAAAAAATCGCTTTTTACACTAAAAAAATTTATTTGATTCAAATAACCGATTAATCGACTATTATTAATTAAATATTTAATTGAATCACATAATATTTATTGGAGTCAATTAAATGGTATTTGCTTCAAATACTGAAATTATTGGTTTAAATATCATTTAATTGACTTCATTAAATATTATTTGATTCAAGTAAATATTTAATTGATAATAGTCAATTAATCGATTATTTGAATCAATTAATTTTTTTTCAATGTACTTCAATTTTTATAGGTATTTATACTGTTCTCCAAATTTGAATTAGTTAAAAGTAATTAATTTGATAGTAAACAATCAGTCGCTAATTCAAATATAGTATGTAAATAAATTGTTAAAAATAACTAATTAATACAATTTTTGTGGAATTCAACTGAAAATAATTAAATTTATTAAAGAATTTCATTAAAAACTTTTTAACAAATCGAATTTTCAAAGTATTTAAAATTAATAATCGATAACTAATTGAATTTTATAAAGAGTAACATTCTAATGTATTCATTTTTCTTTGTGCGAAGATTAATAATTCAAATTTTTATTAGTTGTTGGAAAAAAAGATACACTTAAAATTTTTTAATAAAGTTGAATTTTCGCAAAGTTTTTTTTGAAAATTCTGCAAAATGAGATTTTTGAAATTTTCTAATTTTATTGTTTCAAGATAATTGAATTTTTATAAACAAATAATCAAAAGCTTTTAAAATAATTAAAATTTCTTTACATTCTATTTAAAATAATTAAATTCCTTAAAAGAATTTTATTAAAATTTTTCAAAAATAATCATTGGAAGTTAATCACCGTAATTGAGCCCGCGCGTGCAATAACAGCAAGTGCGCTCGGTCTGACTTTCCGCACCCGCAATATCTACTTTGAGAGGAGTAAAAGAGGAAAAAATCTAGTCTCCTTATTGGCCAGATTTAGTCCCCCACCTCGCAATTTAAAGTAGAAACAGCGATTGGGAAAGACAACCCGAGCGCACTTGCTGATATTGCACGCGCGGGCTCAATTATAATTTTATTTTTAACAATTTCTTTACAATATATTCAATTATTTCTATAAATAGTGAAACTCATTGCAGAATTTGAATTATTTTTAATACAATTTTAATCGAATTCCTCGAAAAATGTAATTATTCTTAAAAATTTTATTAAATTCTTCAAAAGAATTCAAATATTTCTAGAGACTGTAAAAGAATTCTTCTCAAGAATTCAATTATTTCCATAAATGGACAAAATTCTTCAAATTTACTAAATTCTTTTGAATGTTATTTTTAAAAAAAATTCTTCCCAAGAATTCAAATATTTTCATAAATTTCCATAAAATTCTAATAATAAATTCAATTATTTTCAAAAGTAATAAAATTCTTCGCAGAAAGTCAATTATCTTTATAAATAATTAAATATTTCTCCAAAATTAAATTATTTTCAAAAATTGTAATAAAATTCTACACAAACATTTAATTATTTTAATAAATAATAACATTCTTTTAAAGGATTCAATTACTTTTATAAACTCTCTAAATCTGAATTAGTAGAATTCTACTAAGAAATAGTAAAATTTTACTAATTTTTAGTAATATTTTACTAATGTTTTAGTAGAATTCCACTAATTGAAAGTCACTTTTTTACTAAAGAAACTCGTCAAAAGAATTGAATTATCCATAAAAATTTTTGAAGCCATTTGTAGATTTATTTATGTTTGAAATCAAATAAATTTAAATTTGATGAGAAAAAAACGAGAAAAATTAGGTCAAAGGCGAGAAGAAACCGGGAAAAAGCCGGAAATTTCGTTGAACGAAAATAGTAGACACCCTGGTACAAACTTGGTGCTTTTAAGTTAAGTGAAAGTTGAATAAAAAAGGCACTCCTGTGTGAAAATATTGACCATTTTTACTTTTTGATTAAAAAACACACGGGTCATGTGTTTTTTTACCCAAGGAAAAAATAGACGCCATTCTTTGTGACTGTGGGCTAAAAAACATATTATCTTATTCTTTAACTTAAAAATTGAATATTTTAACAAATATTAAATTTAAAAATAATTTCTATTGTTTATGAAAATTATAATTTTTTTTTTAGAAACATCAGTCTTCTGAGCAAACGGTTTCTGTAAAAGAAAGTAACGTTGAAGAGATGATGGATGTTTCATCTATAGATACGAATTCTTCGTCTATAGTATGTATAGAAAATGAAAATAGTGAAGAAAAAATGGAGCAAGAAGACTTGGTTCTGAGTTCTGGAAAGGTATCACCGACTTTGCAGGAGCAAAAAGATATGGATTTTACTGAAACAAATATAACAGTGCAAGAAAAAGATGATAATTATGAAGAGGTAGGTTACTATCTATATTTTTTATAATTGTCATTACGTTACTATCAATTGCTCCCCTAACAGCATCCAGATATTCAGGATGTACTACTGATGAGGATATCCGGAAACTTTTATATCCGTAGGATGTCCCACGGATGTCTTGAAATATCTTATAAACATCCTAAGGATATCCAAATTTCCGGATGTGAATAGGACGTTAGTAGGATATCCTTGAATATCCTTTGCTGTTAGGGTCTATATTACAACAGAAATTTTTAGACGATATTCCTCAAAATTACTTAACAAATTTCTCTTATAAAATTAAAAGAATATAAAATGCTGCAAATGAAATTTTCGTTCATCAAACCTAATGTACTTTCAACTTAATGAAATTATTTTCATATTAAATACAATAAGTTTCATTTGATTTACAGATTATAAACAGTAGTACAATTATAACTGCGGAAGTACTTCAAAAAGTTCATGGTATCATCCATTCTTTAGATGAAACTGTTGAAAACTCAGAAGAAGAGAAAAATTATGCAGAAGTAAGTTAATTCCTTTTATTATTATTATTATTATTATTATTAATTAAGTAAAGGAGATTGAGGAGTTGTGGGCCACACTTTTTTAGCTGAATATCTTACACACAAAATTTTTTTTTATTAAAAAATTTTTCGTGTCAGTAGGAGGTATAAACTCACATATATCATAGTTAGTTTCCCAAAATTATCACTTACCTTAAAGAAAATTATGTTTTACAAAAAAATGCAATTTTATGATTTTTAAAAATGTTGGGGAATTGTGGGCCACTGCCTAAATTGAGTTCAAAATTAAAAATAACGATGAAATATATTTATTAAAAGGTTAGAAATATTAAAAATGTTAAAAACGTTTAATTATTAGTTTAAAATTAGAAAAGAAAAAGTAAGAAAATGAAATTAATCGGAATCACAATTAATTAATTACAAATTTTTAAGTGAACATCTTTATCGCATGAATATCAAATAATTTTAATACATTTTTTTAATTGTTCATTTAATTCTACCAATTACCGATAAAGATTGCAAGTATTGTTTTAATATTTGTGTTCGGAACCCGCCATTACAGTACAAGTACAACTCGCACTTGTCCAATTTTTTATTATTTTTAGTTAAGAAATTAAAGGGAAAAAACAATCTCTTATTTATTCTCTTAAAATTTCACTCTTCCTTAAAATATTTTTTGTCGTCAGACTGTAATAATACACTAGTATAACAATTTTAAACTCATTTGGTCAAATAATGTAAAAGTTAGGCAACAAATTTTTTTTAATATTTTCTTGACAACGCTATGTACGTTATTACACATTAAGTTCTCTTTATTTTTCCTGTAATATTCGAGTAAAAATGTATGTAATGTATGTAAAATATCTTACGAGGGGGGGAGGGGAGGTTAAATTTTCCAAAAAAATGTCTTACGTAATTTATGGACAACCCCTGACCACTGAATAACATTTTCTTATTAATTTATACAAAAAATTTTTTTGGTTTAATAATTTTAGAGACTTTTTTAAGCATAAGAAGAGCCAAAGAAGTATATTTTTAGTCTAAAATTAAATTTGTTAATTTCAGATGATCGGTTTGGGAAATTCTCAGCCGTACTTTTGTTAATTCTGAAAATTTTGAAAGAACTCTACCGGTCAAAATTGAGAGACCACTGCATTTTCAGGTGACTGTAAAACATTTCAAAACATAAAATGTATGGAAACTAAAATTTTTCTCTTTTTATTTTTTGAAAGATGATATAATTTTGAAAAGAATAAGATCTTTGAGAAAACATTTGGTCAATATTTTATTTAGATATTTTTAAAAAATCGTCATTTTCAATGTTTTACAAAAATTTGAATAACTTCTAAAATAATTAAAGCTTTTAATGATCTCAGGCTTATTTTAAAGGTCATTTTGCTTCACTATAAGTATTACTTATAGGCATTAACGTGTAATTTTTTTCTTAGAAAATGCAGGCCTGTCAAACTTGGACCAAAGAAATTTGGAACAATTTTTATGTACTAAAAACTATTCTAGAAAATATATAAAACATAATATGGTGTAGATTTTTCAATAGAATTTAATAAAAAAAGTATGTTTGAATTTTAAAAATTATTTTTCTGTTAATAAGATTGTTCCAAATTTTTTGGTCCAAGTTTAACGGCCTGCATTTTCTAAGAAAAAAAATTACCCGTTAATGCCTATAAGTAATTCTTATAGTGTAGTAAATGGCCTTTAAAATATGTCTAAGATGATTAAAAAGCGTTTATTATTTTAGAAGTTATTCAAATTTTTGTAAAATATTGAAAATAACTATTTTTTAAAAATATCTAAATCAAATATTGGCCAAACGACTCCTGAAATATCTTGTTCTTTTCAAAATTTTATCATCTTTCAAGATACGAAAAAAATAAATTTTAGTTTCCATAAATTTTAAGTTTTAAAACGTTTTTCATTCGCCTGAAAATGGATGTGTTACAAACCAGAAATAAATTTATAAATTAGGCTATTGAGATGGGCTTTTATCTCGATTTGGGGAGGCACCAAGCTGCCAGAATGTTTTATTATTCTGTTTAATTTTGTGGGGACGTTATCCTACTTTTAAAAGTTACCTTCTGATTCGTTAAGTGCACTATTTTTAGAATGATTTGAATTTTAGGTTTAGTTAGGTAAGTAAAGAAATTGATTTTATGAATACATGATTTATTTTAGAATAGCAAAATACCTTTTGAATACAGAATGGTTATAGTGTGTGTTACAAATAGAAAGTGTGTGTGTGTTAGAATATGTAATTGAAACGATACTTATTTTACTTACAACTACCGGCGGAGCTATTCCTCTTTCGAATCACAAAGCATCCGTCGGGCGAAAATTCTTTTGTTCTTGTTTTCACCGAAAATCGCGACGTAAGATTCGCGCTATTTTCTTTTGTTTGCGAGATTGCACTTGTGGTGAGTGGACGCGGGCAATATCTATGCAACCCGGCCGTCTCACACAACTGTGTAAAACTCACTGCGGATCTACCTTTTACCGAATTAGTCCGGGCAATATCTATGCAACCGATAATTCGATAATTGGTTTTGATCGCGCTCGTGGGCCACCGATATTTGAGACGGACGCGGGCAATATCTATGCAACCGGCCGGTTATAAATAACAAGATTTTAGAATTATTAATTATGTTAATAATTCCAAAATCTCACCAAAATCAGCCCGCACTGGACTCTACCGGCTTAGAGGATTTAAGAAGTTAACGTCTGCCCTAAATTTCAACGAGAAATTCGGGTTCCGGGTCGCGGACGGGCGAATCGCGAAATTTCTCTGTCCCAAAACACTTACTAGGTTAGACCCAGGAGAGGTGTCTTCGAGAAGAAGCGAGAAATCGTACTGCAATGATTGAAATTTTGCGACAAGCCTCTAACCCTTGCCTTCTTTGTCAAGGTGGGGAAAACAAAAATTTAGGAGTAGGGAAAACTCATGGGCCCATTGGACGTTGCATTTTTGCTGACGTTTTAGATCTCACGGTAGCTCCGTGAGAACGGAAATAGTCTGTTAATATGATATTTTTCGACACCTTATTTTAAAATAACTGAGAAGTAAATAATAATTATATTATCTTAATTAATAAAATTATTATTCGTCTTAGTTATACTGGTAAATATAATTTATTTTGTTGTAATTATATTAGTCCTACATGATATAAGGTACTTGTATATGTGTTTTGCATTTCGCATAGTTATACATATACACATATACATGTAATTTAATGTCCTCCGGCATTTTGTTGTTAACCAAAGTTACAACAAAATGTTTATCTATTGACGAATTACTATTTCATTGATTTGGAATTGTGCATAAATCAAAATAAAATATGTACGCATCATAAAGCGTTTTGTCAGCTGACACTGCATGTGAATTAGTTATACTATTCTAGTCCGTAAGATTGTGGGCCCAAAGGGGAAAAGGGAGGGTTTCCATAGGATAGATAAGGCAACGAGAAGAGGCATGTATAGCGAGCTTGTATATGTGACCGTAACACAAGGAATCTATGGTTGTATTAGTTCTCGTAGTCAGCGGAGTCAGTGGATGCCATACATTTAATTATTTCTCAAATGGAATTATATTTTGATTTTTAAATTATAAAATATGTGTACTGTATAAATTTTAAAACAGAAATAGAGCATTAATATTGGTTATAAATTTGTGAGCAATTTATATACAATATAATGTAATATGAAAAGAATACGCATTCGACAAATTTCTGTCTAAACTTCTGTAGCGATAATAAGATATTAAAAAAGAAATAGCTGTTAGGTACTTTGTACGTAACAGGATGGTCTCTCAATTTTTATCGGTAGTGAATATATAATGAAATTGTTTATCAGCAATAAAGTAATTAATTCCCATAATTATAGCTAAATCCCATTTGGTCATAAAAACCTATGTCATGAATTGATGTAGGATCCATTTTTAAAGAAAAATATTTTTGATTTCAGAGTGATAATGAAGAAGATAATTTCTTTTTGGATGCTCTTGAGGAAAATGATTGGTTTTTTTATTTCGAAGAGGAGAGCAGCATAGGTCAATCTTCTTTTCCATCACAACAGAAATACTCTACACTGGACGAAATGATAGATGCGCCTGAATTTAACACTCCAATAACAGCAACAATTACAAAATCGATTGGTGAAATTATTCTTATAATTATTAAGTATTCTCTCGTCCATTCGTTATCATTTACTGCTACATTTAATTTATTCCGTCTTATTAATTCTATTTTTGAATTTCCCATTTTACCAAACACGAAATACTTTTTAGATAAACTATTTTATTCAAAAAAGTATATAACTTTCCATGCAAATTGTACTCAATGTGGCGAATATATAGGTACTTTTGAAACCAATCGAGCTCAAATCGTTCGGTGTGCAAAGTGTCAAATTTCAATTAATGTTAAAGATTATGATTACAAAAACTTTTTTATCGCAATGGATCCATCTTTTCCAATTTCGCAATTATTAGAAACTAATTCGGACTATTACAATTATGTAGTGAAAGACAGGGTAGGAAAAGAAAACTGTTTTAACGACATTTACGACGGTAAGCTCTATCGAAAATTTGTCAATTCATTAAATGAAGAAGATAAACATAACTATGCTACAGTATCATTCAATACAGACGGAGCTCCTTTGTTTGAGAGCTCATCTTGTACTATTTGGCCAATTTATCTAATGTTAAATGAATTGCCCTTCAACGTTAGAAGTATAGAGTTGATTTTAGTAGGACTTTGGTTTGGCAAAGACAAACCAAATATGAGCAGTTTTCTTCTTCCTTTTGTTCAAAGTATGAATAATCTAGCAACCAAAGGAGTTGCATGTATTATTAACAATGTCGAATGTATAATTAAAATTTTCGCTTTAGTTTGCTGTGTTGATGCAGCAGCACGAGCTCCAGTACAAGGTTTTATAAAATATAATGGCAAATATGGTTGTGGTCAGTGCCTTCATCCAGGAAAATGGATTAAAAAATCAAAAAATGTACGTCAAGGTTGCATTAAATTTCCCTTGTTAAAAGAAGCTGTAAAAGATAGAAGTCTCTCTACTACCAAAAGGCACACTGAAACGGCTACAGAAAAAAAACCAGTGTTTGGTGTTAAAACGCGTTCCCCTTTATTAGATCTATTGGCTTTCGATTTAATTCGTGGTTGCGTTCCAGATAGTATGCACCTAGTATCTGGTATTGCAAAGCAATTTTCTATTATGTTGTTTGGAACTAAAGAAAAAGTAGGTTTAATCACACGTAAATCTATAAAGGATATTGATTCATTTTTGACAAACATTAAATCTCCTCATCAAATCGGAAGATTGTCGCGTCCATTCTCTGAAAGGGCATATTGGAAAGCGAGAGAGTGGGAAAATTGGACTCTTTTTTATAGTTTACCTATTTTCGATAAAATATTGCCAAAAGAGTATGTAAATCACTGGGCCCTATTCGTCGAAGCCTTATACATTTTGTTGCAAGAAGAAATAACGATTTTTGAAATTGAATTAGCCGATCAAATGTTACATGAATTTGTAGGTGGAACAGAAAAGTTATATTCGAAATGGGCGATGACTTTTAATGTTCATTCTTTGTTACATTTATCAAGGAAGCGTGAAAAACTGGGGACCATTATGGGCTCATAATGCATACGCATTTGAGTCAGAAAATGGAAAATTGTTGCGGTCGACTCATTCAGCAAATGGAATACATCATCAAATATGCCGTAGAGTAAGCTTACAATATTCTATGATTATGTTAAAAAAACGAGTAGAAACATCCTTTTCTATTAAAAATTTTTGTACAATCATTGATAGCACTATGGTAGCAAAAACTCTTCAAATTTCTTCAAACAGATATTTCAGGATCCCCTATTATAGCGAATACATTATGGATAGAAAGTTTACAACTTTCTACCGAAAATACAGTCTCGTATGTGCGAATGGTAAAAAATGGTTGTTTATTTATGGCATCGACTAAAAATAATCGACGTTCTAACAATACTTATGCTTTGTTAGATAATGATGTATATGTACAAATAAATTGCTTTATTGTTGACAGATTAAACAAATTGGAGTATACAATTGTTAAAAAGTTAGACACGATAAATGCTTTAAGCAATTCATGTAAAATGTTGCAAAAAGTAACAAAAGTTGGTGACAAATTTTCTGTATTAACGAGTTCGCTGAAAACAATATGTATTTTTTTGGAGTTGAATGGAATATCGTATGTATGTGCTTTACCAAATTTAAAATCATATTAAAATACGAAAAATTATGTTAAGTGTATTTACCTGTACATTATATTAAAATGTAAGAAATAAATACACCTCTTAAATAAAATTAAATCTATTACTTAATTTAATAATAAAACTAAATTTTTTAAACATTTTAGAAAATTTATTACATTTTAAAGATAAAAAAGAAAAAAAACACTATTATTTAAGCTGTTTTAAAAAAATTCAACAATGGGAACCTAATGGGATACGACTTCGTTTCCGACGTCGGATCCAATCCCAAATTCCGATCAAGTTTCCCAATTCGGTTACGATGTATAATCCGACGTCGTTTTCTACTTCTTTTCCGACGTCAAATACGAATCACATTACGAAGCAAAAAACCTAATGGTTTCCAACGTCGGATCCTACGTAGGCATTTTGAATAGGGTAAGAAGTTATTTATATGAATATTGTTTAGATATTCTTGATATAATATTTGTTCTTTTTTATATACTGTTCCTTTTCAAATGTCCCCTACTGTCCCGAAGTACCGTAACCAATCTTCTCACATTTTTTGTATAAAAACAAAAAAAGTTTGCTGTCCACGTAATAGAATTAATATTTATTTATATAAACGCATCTTAACATTTACACGAAAAAAGTTAATTTATTTAAAGAAATAAAGTTGAACAAAAACCAAACAATAGCAGGGCTCGAACTAGGTCCGTAAATCCCGTAAAAGTCCGTAACTTTGCTTGAAGTCCGTAAAAGTCCGTTTTTTCGAAAAAAGGTCCGTAAAGTCCGTAATTCGATTGAAAAAGGTCCGTAAAGTACGTAAATTATACGATATAATTTGGATAATTTTAGAGAAATTACAAATGATTGAAGGAATTCAATTATTTTCAAAAGTAATAAAATTCTTTGCAAAAATTCAATTATGTTCAAAAATTTTTAAAAATTCTCGTCAAAATTTCAATTGTCTTTAGAAATAATTAAATTCTTCTCCGAAATATCAATGATTTTCAAAAACTTTAATAAAATTCTTGGAAAAATTTCAATTATTTTCAAAATTTTTCAATTCAATGATTTTTAATAGGTATCTATACTATTATAATAAAATTTTCCAAAAGAATTCAATTATTTAAAAAAAATCTCCTCAAATTCTACACAAACCTTTAATTATTTTCATAAAAAATAATAAAAAGTTTACAGGAATTTCATTATTTACAAATTTTTTTATAAATTTCTTCGCAATATTCAATTATTTTCATAAATAATAAAATTTGTACAGGCCCGTGTGGAAAAGTGGTGTTGGCCCACGCCGGGGGCCCGCATGGATCGTCCACATCCAGGAGGGGCCCACGTGGGTGATCCAGGCGAGGCCCCTCATGGAAACGACATGCTGATCGATGAGGGCGCCCGCATGGGCGATCCACGCGGTCGCCCTCGTCGGCCCCCTGCGTGGCCCTTGCGTTTGCCCTCATCTTTGCCCTCAACTTACTCTCACCTTTATTTTTCAAAATTAAGTTAATAAATTCATTATTTATTAATAATAAACAAGTTCAATTATTAATAAATAACATTGTTACTTAACGATTTTAACTTTTTTAATTAAATCGTGACCAAAAAAAAAATCTGACGCACGCGGGTATAGAACCTACGACCTACGGACTATCAGACAAACGCTTATCATTCTATCTTTAATTATTATAAAACACGAAGTAATCGATCGCTCCGAGTCGAAGACTCGGAGTTATCGATATCTTCATGTTTTTTAGTTATGAAAAAATCTAATTTATAGTTTTAAGTAAAATGTTCTCTTCAGGGGCGTATCAAAAAAAAAGCTTCGGGAGGGGGGGGGGGGTTATGGACTTTGATGAGAGGTGTACTCAGAATAAAATTAGAAATTTAGGCTTTAACATATATGTTTTTCCAAAATTTCGGAGGGGGGGTTGAACCCCTAAACCCCCCTCCGGATACGCCCCTGGTTCTCTTATATATTTTTGTCAGTAATTGGTCCGTAAATGGTCCGTAATTTTTCATTTTTGGTCGGTAAAGTCCGTATTTTTAAATACTTTCACTGGTTCGAGCCCTGCAATAGTGATCATATTCTGCCAAAAAACTGTCTGCCATTAAAAAAATATTTACGTCTAATGTTATAACCACTATTCCTTTCGATTTTTTAGAACATTAACTAATATAGAAAACTTGATTACAAAAACAAAATCGAAAATTCACATTTTAACTTTTCTGCAGACTGTATTTTACCTTTTAAATGAAATGAGCCATATATATTATATATTTTTATTTATACACTCGTCTTTTGCCTTAATACTAGCGTTACAAATGTCCCCGTGGAATTTTTCTGACATACTAAACTTATACTAAATTTATGCGTCTACAGAATGGCTTGAAATTAGGAGTACTCGCATTTGCCTGGAACACCCGTCTAATGGGTTTTCTCGCCAGTGGAGAGGGAAATTGTAGAAAACCTCTCCTGAGTACATCCGGTTTATCTACAGTCGAATTCTAATGGTGTGTACCGGACAATAATCGACGGTGTACATCATTATACTTCGACTTCAAACCTCCCGTTCAGATTATCTCACGTGCCGAAAAAATCACAGGCTAATGGGTGCGAACCAAGTACCCTTGGTACTCGCTTCCAAATCACACTCAGCGACTTAAAAAACCTGTAGATACCAAATTTCATAAAAATCTGCCAATTTTTTGAAAATAATTCCTTAATGTTGAATTTCGAAAATAAAATGTCGGATTCGTAATCAGCGACCCCAAAAACCCATGATACCAAGTTTCATAAAAAATTTAAATTTTCTTTTATAAAGTCCGCCATATTGGATCCGCCATTTTGAATTCTGAAAGTTTAACTTCAGATTTGTAATCAACGACCCAAAAAAACCCCAGATATCAAGTTTGAAGTAAATACATCAAGTTAAAAAAAATCGCCTACCTCTCAAAATCCGACATGTTTTTTGAGGTTAGAAAACAATCCTGACATGATGGAGCAAAACGGACTTCGGATTCGTATTCAGCGCGTCAAAATACATAGGGCTAGTGTATTCCGGTCAAAAGTACATGACACTTTTTTGTGGGGCTGTGATTATCTTATGTAGCTCAGTAGGGGAGACTAGGTGCGGTTGTTACAGTGTGCAGTTGTTACAAATGGAATATCTCAGAAACAGTTAGTTATAGAGATGGGGTTCCAAAGAGAAAAATGTTTAGTTTTTATATACGAACTTACTGCAATATCCTATTCAAAAAAGGACATGTCACAAATGTCACATGTCACATATGTTACAAATGTCTGTCACAATGTTACATGTCACATGTCACATAATATCCCTATATTAAAGAACCAGTTGAGACTAGTAGAAATTGAACATGGATCTACTGGTGTCAACTTGCTTTCCAAATTGAAAAACTTTTCCGTGTAGCAATTCTACTGGTTTTAACTTGGAAATCCTATTTATGTAACTGAAACGGATATCCAAGATAAAATTGAAATGGTTCTATCTTGGATTGTCCTCTTCAATTTTTGTTTCGACTTGTTTCAACATGGATTTCCAATCTTATCATTTCTAATTGTATTTCCAAGTTCGCACGTACTACAAGTATCAGCTTGCATTTCCATCAAATACAAAAATTAAGTTCAAGTATCTACTTGGTTCAATTTGGATTCTCGAATACTACATTTCACTTATCCTGTCAAATTAAAAATCAACAAGTTTGAGTTTGGAATTTCCAACTCTAAATTTATATCTTACAGTGAAGGATTAATGTCATCTTGGTTTAATTTGAATCGGGGATGCATTCTTTTTGGAATTTCAAGATCAAATTTAAAGAGTTTGATTAATCGCTAATTGGAATTTATAAAATTGTCATTTTCGCCAATTGTTATTTTATAAATTGTTATTTTTGCAAAGAATTATTATTACAAATTTACATTTTTACAAATATTTATTTTAGTTAACTGTTATTTTGCAAATTTTATTTTTGCAAACTTGCATTCTTCGCAATTAACAGTTTTACAAATTGGTAGATACTTTTGCTAATTGTTATTTTTTTTGAAACTGCTTTGTTGTGAATCATTATTTCTGCTAATTGTTGTTTTGCAAATTTTATTTTTGCGAATTTGCATTTCTCGAATTGATATTTTTACGAATTTGTTACTATTGCTATTTTTAATTTTGTGAATTTTGTAATTTTATAAAAATCTGTAGTTCACAATCAATGGAATTTTTTTTAACAGAGTTGAGTCATTTTGCGAATTTTAATTTTTACGAATTTTCTGTTTTTTATTTCGCTTAATGTTATTTTTTGCAAATTTTTGCAAAAAATTACAACGCGGTCAAATGACATTTGAGCAGAAACTTATTAAATATTTAATTAATATTTTTAACATAATAGCATATATTGCAAATCTATATAAATATTTTAAATTCTGCTTGTATTTTTATAGGTACTTACAAAAATTATAATATTTTACATAAACTTGCGTTTTTCAAAGTTGCAGCTTATATAGACAG